TCAGATTCCAGATTTTCAAATAGTTGCATCTCAGCCAAATATTGTCCTATCCTAACAAACCATACATCAATGGAAAGCTTATTTATTCAAAAATTGACCCTTATGACTGGTTTTGTGGTCCAGGGTCACATATGCATGTGTGTTTAAGAGTGAAGCGCATCACAATGTTCATTTACACATGAGCTGCTCATCATCATGTGTTTTTCAGCTTCTCAGAGCTGCTCGGTTCGCTGTAACTCATTTCCACACAAACTCCATTTCTGCTCTGAGTTTGAGTTGCCCACTTTAACTTTCCAGACTTGTAATGAAATGCTCATCAACAAAAGAGAAGCTTCAAGTTAAATACAAATCAGAGGTTCCCCACAGTTTTGTCAAAATAAAATTTTGATGGTTTAACATTTTTAAATGAAATAATGAATACAAATGTTAGTATTGTAATTTTAGTTGAAATGTAAAATAAAATCAATATTATATATTTTTTCTTAGATACTTTGGGAATAATATGTCTTATTTTGTTTAGTGATTTTTATATATTATTATTATAATTATTGTATAGCAATATTGATATATAATCACATTTTGGCCAAATTGTGCCCTAAAAATAAGCACATCAAACCTGGATTCTTTTTTTTTAAATCACAATTTTTATCAGAAAAAAATACTGCATTTCTCCCTGAAATCATGCAGCCCTACTCCATCCGACTGATCTGAACATGATGTGTGCATATGTCTGTTTAGGTACTGAGCCAGAATGCAGAAGGACTGTGGGTTTGCTGAATTACATTAGAGTGGATGACTGCCAATCAGAAGAAAAGATAGAACTCACTTACTGCGAGGTAAGTCGATAAATTTTTATATTTTATTGCAACAATACCATGAAGCTATGTACGTATTATTTATCTGTCTTTTTTCTCACCCACAGGGAAAGTGTGGCAGCAAGTCTATGTACTCACTGGACAAGCACAAGGTCGAGAGCGAGTGTGTGTGTTGCTCGGCTACAGGCACCGTGCCCATGAATGTTCCCCTTCGCTGTGCTAACGGCACACAAACACACCACCAAGTCCTTGCCGTCACTGGCTGCGACTGCATGTCACACGCCTGTTCGACCGACTGAAAGCAGACACACCCACTTGATAAAATAACATACAAGTGAAAAACTGCTACAATACACTTTCATATATGCATCTACAGCCAGTATGTTGCTCAGTACAGTTTGCTCAGTGGAGTAACCGCTGATAATTGAGCACTTTATCATACATTTCTGTTTTTATTTCAACATATAAACCATTAAGACTCATCATTAATCAATAAACAATCATTCCTGATTACTGCTTTCCCATTTTGCCACTAAACAATCTGTCTATACAAATATATTCTTGATCGTGAACAACTATTATGTGTGGTTGTAGTTTATGGGTGTTTATAGACTGACCTACAATAAAGAACAAGTACTCAACTTGTACCACTCGGTGGTGCTCTGGACAATTGAACTCATTTGTGTGAGAGTGTTCGTGTACACGGAGAATACTGATCATCAGTCAATTATGTGAAGATCATCAGTCACCCTTGTGAAGGGTGTTGAAGGGTACAATTCACACATGTGGAGGACATGAGTCACACATCAAATACTTGTTATTCACTTGTCGGCCTCATGAAATATTGAGTAATATAAAGAAAAAACATTCCATGTATGGCATTTCTGCACATTTCCACACATCTGTGGTTTTATAGCATCTTTATATTCTACAAGGTTTAAATAATATTTATATCTATAATATATAATATATCTCAATTCCAGCTGCCAATCATCTGGAAATCATGTCGGAAAGTATGTTCATTAAACCCAGTGAGTCACTGCATTATTATGATGTGTTTTGAAGGTAATTATGAAAGTGCATGACTGCTCCATGCATTCACTGGTGGGATTTAATACACTATTAGTGATCAGATTTCTCAAATTGCTGGCTAAATGATTGCTTTATTTTTCTCATTTACTACCATTTAACGTTCTCTCTTAAATGAACTGACTGAATAAGCAATGTAAAATACACATAAGTGAGTGTGCTAAGGCTGGTAACTGTTAACACATAACTGCAGGTTCAGTTCGGAGAAGATGTGACCCAAGAAAATGTCAGTGTGCTCTTAAACAAAGCACATAATCCTAGGTTTATCCAAGCAGACAATTGGCTACAAATCAGTTTGGACATAGAAAGCATAAGCTAAATAGAGACAATTACTGTTTAAATGTCAACAGCCTTTAGATATTTATTCCAAAGTATATCATAACTCTTTATCTTTATAGACTCAGTTCACAATTAAAATGTATAATTAAATTGAGTTATAATATTTAATTAATAAAATTATCAAATATTATTTCATTATATAATGCAATTAGGAATAGTTCCCATTCAATGAAAGTAAAAGGTTACCAGGGCTGCCAAGCTCTAAAAGAGACAATAAAGCACCATACGTGCCACTAAAGTAGTCCATAGGACTCGCTATATTCCTGGATATAGCTATATTCCATGTCTTCCTTTACAGCATTTAAATCTTTATTGCATATGCAAATTCAAATATGGTGCATGAAGACGACTTTATGCTACGAGTCACTTCCCACATATACCATAGTATATATCATGCAAAAAGCAGTACATAAAATAAGTAACGTCCCACTATGCGGTATTTGAATAATACACTAGTAGGCGAATAATACCCGGATGATGTGCTTGCTAGAATTATGAACCCACTATATCATAAAGCCATATGAGAGGAGCTGTCAGATTTTTTAAAAAGTCTGAGAAAATGCAGAGAACTGTGAGCCAAGTGGCTTTTTTCAAGTGCAAGTGTAGTACCAAGATGTTTTTCTTATTTACTTTATCATCAAGATTTACCATCTTGATTCAAGATTCTACCATCACAAGTGCAGTATGGAGTACCACAAGTCTCAGTACTAGGGCCGTTGCTTTTCACGCTTTACATGTTACCCTTGGGAGATATCATCAGGAAACATGTTGTTAGCTTTCACTGTTATGCTGACGATACTCAGCTCTATATTTCTTTGCAGCCTGACGAAGCATACCAATTTGCAAAATTATCAGAATGCATAGTTGATATAAAAAACTGGATGACTAGTAATTTCAAGGTTAGATTATTGTAATGCTTTATTAGGTGTTTGCTCTGCGCGCTTAATAAACAAACTCCATCTGGTCCAAAATGCAGCAGCTAGAGTTCTTACTAGAATCAGGAAGTATGACCATATTAGCCTGGTTCTGTCAACACTGCACTGGCTCGCTGTTAAACATTGTATACATTTTAAAATCTTGCTAATTAGTGAAAGTGAAAAAGTGAAAGTGACGTGACATGTGGCCAAGTATGGTGACCCATACTCGGAATTAGTGCTCTGCATTTATCCCATCCAAAGTGCACACACACAGCAGTGAACACACACACACCGTGAACACACAGCCGAAGCAGTGGACAGCCATTTTTCCGCTGCGATCTCAAAACTCTGGCCATTTGATAATACCTAGAATATTAAAATCAACTGCGGGTGGCAAATTATTTTCCTATTTAGTGCCCAAACTCTGGAACAACCTACCTAACATTATTCAGGAGGCAGACACATTCTTTCAGTTTAAATCTAGATTAAAGACCCATCTCTTTAACCTGGAACACTTCCAGTCACACTTCAGCGGAGACCATGCCAACTAGATGTGCCCCAGAGACAGATCCCCTGCAAAGACCTTGTCACCTAGACGGCCATTGGCACAAGGCTACGGGAACCAGTCGAGTCCTCTGCACAATTCTGACTTGTGTTGCAGCCTGGAATTAAACCATGCAATGCTGGTTTCGTCTGGCCAGAGGAGAACTGGCCCCCCGACTGAATTGATAGGCTGCATTAATTAGGTCACCGGGAACACTTCTCATAACACACTTCAGCAGAGACCATGCCAACTAGATGTGCCCCTGAGACAGATCCCCTGCAAAGACCTTGTCACCTAGACGGCCATTGGCACAAGGCTACGGGAACCAGTCGAGTCCTCTGCACAATTCTGACTTGTGTTGCAGCCTGGAATTAAACCATGCAATGCTGGTTTCGTCTGGCCAGAGGAGAACTGGCCCCCCGACTGAGCCTGGCTTCTCCCAAGGGTTTTTTCTCCATTTCTGTCACCGATGGTAGTTTTGGTTCCTTGTCACTGTCGCCTTTGGCTTGCTTAGTTGAGGACGCTTAATTTCTGGCAATATTGTCGACTTGATTGCACAGACAGAGTGTTTACTATTGTCCTCTTGCATTATCGACATATTTTCTTGTTTAACACTAAAGCTGCTTTGACACAATCTGTATTGTATAAAGCGCTACATAAATAAAGGTGACTTGACTTGACTATTTTTAATGAATCGGTTGTGTGAATGATTCACTACCTCTTAAGACACTTGTCGCCTCCTACTGATAACCTGCAAAAGGAGTCAATGAATGAATCAGTGAACAGATCTAAACGAATCTTTTGAAAGTGATTGAGACTATGATTTCTAAACTATTGCTTTATTTATTATATGCTTGATCATCATAAAACATATTACATGTTATTTTTATCAGCAATGTTTTAAAATATTTAGTTCGTAATAATTAGACTTACACATTTAGCGTCTGTTTGTGAGAGATACCTTGTGTGTGTGTGTGTGTGTGTGTGAGGGGGAGGGGGAGGGGGGTTGTGTCGGCTGGCGCGCTGCGTCCGACTCTCACTGGAAGTTTGAGCGTCTCGAGCGCTCCACGGAATTAACGGCAGCAGCACCAGCGCGTTAAGCTGCGCGGGGCCGCGAGCGGATTGTCCACCATCTCACCGGGAACATGAACATGGCACTGAACAGGTCACCCTCTGCCACGGGTGAGTACCAGCCCTGACATTCCGATTCATGTTGTTTGTTGATGATATTGTTTGTGCGCGCGTGCATTGGTTTCACTGAGCCAGAGGGAAAATGCATTTGGTGTTTGTTTGTGCAATTGGCACTTCAATAAATTGGCTTGTTTGATCATCGTTTTATATTCAACTGTTGCAAATGCATGCATGTTATTTCATGTACTCATGCATTTATAGTCAATTAATCTGATGTGGTGAAAACTGAACATTTGAGTGGCACCAAACTGGTCGTTCATGTTAATTGCAGTGAGGCACGCGCCATTATTTGCCCCTTCAGACGGGCTGTCACACTTTAACACTTGTAAACGTTGTAACCAATTGTGTTAGAATTCATCCTTTTGCTTTGGAAAACAATAAGAGGGCTCAGTGTGTCGGAGGGGGTTTGTATAATTAGCTGGGGCAATAAGCTGGAGCTATTTCAAGCGCCATCTGACGCCATGTGTTGTTTTATCATAACAATCAAACACTTTATGATCTTTTTTCTTTTTTTTTTACATTGACGACAGAATGGAAACTGTGATTTGATATGAAAACACGGGGAAATAAATACACAAATAGACTATGGTGTGATGCATGGTTTGGTCAATTGGTGTAAATGCGCTTAGCTTTCTCCAAGAGTCATGAATCCCTGTTTGTTTACCTGAAGTCATGAGGCATATTTAAGTGACGCTTTAGTCAGGTGTGAGAATATTTCAAAAGACTAGAGGTGTACGTGTCGCTGTTTCTGTGATCAGAGTCAGTTTTACAGGTTTTGAGCATTGACGCACAGCCTTCAATTATGTCGCTGTCCTTAGTGCTGAAAGCTTTTAGTTTACTCTACTTTTAAATGGACGCTCTCTCTCTCTCTCTCTCTCTCTCTCTCTCAATTTCAGCACAATTTCAGCAATTTATTGGCATGATTGTTTTGCATGCATATTGCCGAAGCACACACAAAGAAACTGACATAAGAGAAAAATGCCATAAAAGAAGACTTTCAGCAATATATTATTAGACATCAAAATTAACTTGTGAATGTCTCTCTCTAACAGAAAATTGGAACGGGGCTCCCGAGCGCATGCGTGTTTCCACTGTGAAGAGTGAGTCCTCTTCAATGCAGAGCGAGAAACTCCGCTGTCTTGCCCGCGATATCTCTGAACTGGGCCAGCAAGGCACTGCCAGCAGTGGGCACGATGCCAATGACATTGCTGAGGACACGGTGCGTTGTCTAATGCAGGATTTAAGATGAAATGTTTTTTATTATCAAAGAGGTATTATTTTTATAGCATGTTACATTAAATTATTAACTAACATTATTACATTAAATAATGGTTCTGGTTAGATCATACTAAAATATTCACATTGCATATGTTATGTACATCTTCTCAATGGACCCCCTGCAGTACCTTCACGGACCCCCAGGGGTCAAGTAAGGTGACATAAGAAAATGCAATTATTTTGCAGTTGTAAGCTGGTTGCACATAGATTGTGGGTTGAAGCCAACAGCAAAAGATCTCTAGATATTGCCATTGACCATTGAAAAATCTATATCACTCCTGGACAGTTACTGTTTCAGATTCCATTCACAAGTGAAGGAAGCATTTTACCAGATCCCAACATGCTTCAGTGGAACTTGCAATGTGTTTTCAATGTATCACATTGGAAAGCATCTACTAAATGACATCAGTTTAATATTCACACCAGACTTTCTCATTTCCTAGCCTGTAGAGATCCAGGGCATTTTCTTTTAACAACATTCATATTCCAATCTACTTGATTACTGTAAAGTTCTTTATCGTATAGTAAAGCTCCCACAGACACTAGTAAATATTACCACCTTAAAACTGTGAAGTTTTTTCAAAACTCAAAGGTAAGAAAAAAATTATAATTTTTTAAAGACTTTTAGTTATATACATTTGTATTTTTATTATAAAAAATATAATTGAAAAAAATCTTTCTCTTATAAAATAAATATGTATGCACATATGCAGTAAACTGTCATTTCTGTTTGCTTTTCAGTAACTATAATTATTTATTTATTTATTTATTATTTATTTGCTTTCTGCTTATGGGAATTGGGGTGCATGTCAGTAATCTCATAATGCAAAAAAAAAAAAATCACAAAATATATTTTTGTAAAATATAAGTTCTCATTTTTTTCTTTTCTTTTTTGGGGTAAAATATATATAAATATATTTATCTTACATATTCTGAACATAATATTTTTGGGGATCTTTTTGTAGTGTGAAGAGAACATTATAAAAACCACAATGGCAATTTCAGATGACGGTCTTATCCACTAGTTTGCAAACCACAGAGACCCTCCTAGTTATGCACCTTGCTCAAAAGCAGAATTCTAATCAAACATGAGTATGACAGGAAACATCCAACTGCTTTGAACCACCAGCCAATCAGTGGATGACCCAGATCCTCAATTTCTTGCTGAAACTGCCAACTACATGCTATGCAGCTTTGAGAGAGCTCCAGGATCTGTAATTACAGTTTTCACTGTACAGCTATGCAGATGTGTCTAGATGTTACTGAGCTGAAGAAAGCTTGTGTGTGTTTTCAGGAGGAGCCAGGCCCTGGTCCAGGAGGAGGGCTGTGTTTTGCAGACGGCCGCAGAAGAGTGGACTACGTTCTTGTTTATCACTGCAAGAGACGTCAGTCCCAACACCGCCACTCTGTTGTCTCTAACGGTAACGTGCCGTCTCAAACCCCCACCCCATCACGCAGGAGTACAAAGGGCAATATTTCGGAGGCGGTGCTGGAGGCGGGGCTTGGGATGGAGCCCGCCAACGAACTACAAGATAAAATCAGGGAGGAATTTGAAAGAAGACTTCAGGAGGAAGGCTTGGAGATTGAACATGACAAAGAGGTTTGTATTTGTGTGTGCATGGTTATGTTCAGAATGCTAGAACACTAGCCCACTGCACACTATGCAGTACACACTAAATACTGCCTACTATTTTTAGTTCTTAAATAATAAATAATATGTAAGAGACAATGCACTATGCAACATTTCAAACAGTAGGATGCTAAATTGTTGTCATATGATCTCCTTATATGCATACACTACTGTTCAAAAGTTGGTAAGATTTTTAAAATTCTTTAATCTTTTAAAATCAAGGCAGCATTTATTTGATAAAAAAATACAGTAAAATGATTATATGTTAAAATGTAATTTATTCCTGTGATGCAAAGCTGTATTTTCAGCATCATTACTCCAGTCTTCAGTCTAATGATGATTTGCTGCTCAAGAAAGTGTTTTTTTTTGGGGGGGGGGATACATTTTTTTCAGGATTCTTTGATGTATAGACAGTTCAAAAGAACAACAATTATTTGAAATATAAATAAATATCTTTACATAATTAAAAGTATTCATTTCTTTAAAAAAAATTACTGACCCAAAACTTTTGAAACATAATTTATCTAATTTCACAAGTGGTGTCCAATTATCATCTTTGGAAATTAAAAGGGGTTGTTTTGCATTTATTTAAAATCCATTGTGCGTAAAATGTCTTAATTCCATTAGTCTGATCCGATAACGAAAAGTTGTTTAAAATAGGCCAAAAATATGCATATTGCTAAATTAGTGTGAGTAGCATAGTAGTATGCTATTCTGAACATAGCCTGTGTGTGGTTCTTGTCTGCCCATGCATGTCTCTATATAATTTTCCTGGCAAACAAATTAATGTATCATCATCTCATGTGTCGAGCCATGAATAATCAGGGATGAGCTCAGTTTTGAGTATAATACTAACAGAATGAACACAATCAAGAGATTCCCAAGGTGACCTTGGAATTTAAGAATTGGAGACCCAGTTTAGAAAAAGCCCAAACTCTCCCACACTAAGAAAAGTCTATCTTTTTTGAAGGGGGAGTTTTCATTTTCAAGCAATGCAGCATATTTTAATACTAGTTAACAGATGCCAAAAAGCATTTCTTTGCTTTCCTGCAATGCTGCAGTAGTTGCCGCCCAGCAATATATTTGCGACAGATGCAACTGTGTTTATCACAAGAGATGATCGGTTCCCCCTGCATCATGGTTTTTCCCAAGTAGAAGCAGGGAGAGCTTAGTATTTCTGAATAGGAGTAGATTGGTTGACTCATGCAGCTTTTTTCAACAAAAAAGCTTATACTCAGGCAATACCCTCATGAATCCAAATAGAGTCAAAGCTATTATTATGCAGGTTTGAGTACACCTTAAAATACACTACATGCTTATGTGTGAATTTTTATTTCAACCTAAAAGAAATTATATTTTGCATAAAAAATATAAAGCCCATTTTTAGGACCTTTTTATGATTTTTAGTTTCTGTTTCCATGATAATAATAATGAATAATGCAATAAAAATCATCTTCCTGAACAGCGTTTTTAATTAATCAGCATAAATTTAATTTAAAACAAATTCTACCATGTTATATACTTGCAAATGATTTTGTAAGTGAAAAACATTGTTGTCGTTGTTTTTGATATTGCATAACTAGCTATAATAGTAAATTAATTCTGAGATGCAAAGACTTTGTTCCTATGTCCGAAGTCTGTATGGATCTGAAATTGGCCCCAGGGTTCATTTTAGCATAAAGATTGACTGATGGGAGTGAAATCCTGAGTGAAAGCTGTGACGTGGGTGTACGTTTGATTGTTGGTGGTAGATCAGTTGTGTTATGTTAGTGTGGATTAAATTTGAGTGCTGCTGTCTCCAGCCTAAAGGCAGATTATGGTTGATCCTCATTGCCAGAGGTGTTTGTGTTTGATGTGTTTGTGTGTGTGTGTCATTCATCCACGCTGAATAAGACCATTTTAGTAACAGCTGCTTCTTAAACTCTGTGTGAGTGTGTGCGTGTTTGCACCTGAAACGGTTTTTATTTTCTGTGACATCGCGGCAGGAATAACATACAAAATATGACCGTGATAATCTCAGGTAATAATTATATGCTTTATTCAATGTTAAAAGTGTCTAATGGGAGTTTGAATATTATTTTGCGTGATCTTTATAGCCATAGTGAAAGCAACAATAGATATTTCACAGTGTTGACAGCATCACTGATTATCGCGCTGATTCTATTGTATTTTGTTGCGTCGCGCAGCTCGCGTCAGGTGTAGACACGATGTAAGTTAATGTCGCTTTCTGATGCTGCGTTTGAATTTTCATGCCACATTATTTGACATTAGCGCGGGCCAAACATTTTTCTCTGACGGGCCGGATGTGGCCTGCGGGCAGCCTATTGAGGAACCCTGCTTTACATTGTCGCAATGACCGTCTTTTTGCAGTAAAGGACCTGTCATAGTTTAATGCATGGGAAGAAGACATGAAGCGATGTGAGGTTAGCTGCATTGAAAACAGATGAGCGCTCATGTGCATATAAAGCGCCAGATCGGGGTGAAGTTCACAGGATTTTGACCACAGAATGATAAGAGCACATTTTTTAACATATTATTTTATTATTTAACAACAACGACAAATAGCCTCTTCTCCCTGTGTTTTTTTCCTATTTGAAAAGTGTTTTTGTTTTCCGTCCCCCGTCTCCCCCGTCC